TCAGAGGGTTGTGTGTGTGTGTGTGTGTGCACTCGCTTGGATTTTGTATCTCTCTTTGGTGGGACTCATGCTCATTGAAATATGGATTCATTAAAACCTTAATATCTCAAGCAAATGTTGGGATCAGGAGTGTATTTTTTAGCTATCAGGGATGATTTTTCTTGTTTTCAGGTGCATCATGGTGGTGCTGGAACAACAGCCGCTGGTCTTAAGGCCGCGGTAAGGATGCATCTCCTATCTTAGGTGATTTTGATCTTAAATACTTCTTGATTTGAACTTTTCATTGCAATACAGTGCCCAACGACAATTGTCCCCTTTTTTGGTGACCAACCTTTTTGGGGAGAAAGAGTCCATGCAAGAGGTGTAGGTCCTCGACCAATACCTGTTGATGAATTTTCACTTCAGAAGTTGGTTGATGCAATTAGATTCATGCTGGATCCCAAGGTATCAAATTTTAAAAGTTTTCTTTTGCCTCCTTGGTTCTAAAGCCATGCGAGAAGTGCTTGCATAATTCTTTGAGAGTATTTCTCCCTTGCAGTCTAGGTGAAAACTTCAATTATAGTTCCTGAAACCTGTCTGTTTTTGTCCTTGTCAAGAGATTTCTCTTGCCCTCTTTTTCCGAATTTCTTGGATGTTGTGTTATAACGGGAAAGGATAGGATAAGTATTTTTAGGTGTTAGCTGCACAATGAGCAGGTTTAGCTAAGCTTAAAAAGTTCACTTACGAGTATAAAATAATTGAGTAGATCAAGATTGGAATAAAAAAATTCACTTACAAGTTTAAAATAACTTTTTTTAATAGATTAATATTAAAATTAAATAATTAGTAACAGTGAGGTGAGTTACTTTCAAAAGTTAAATTTTCTTTATTTAAAAGTAGGAATTAAAAGGAGTAACGTCTCCAATCTTTGAAAACAAAAAGTTAACTCAAACTTTTACTTATATTTAAGCTCAACACAACATGTTCATTGTGCATAAAAATACTGGTGAGGATACTTTGAGTTGCATATAAACTTAAGAGGTAATATGCAGGTCAAGGAGCATGCAGTTGAACTTGCAAAGACAATGAACAATGAAGATGGGATTAATGGAGCTGTGAAAGCATTCTATAAACATCTTCCTCGCAGAAAACTTGAGCCTCAGCTAGAATCTGCCCCGTCAAGTTTATTTTCCATACGTGGATGCTTCGGCTGTTCCCAAAATTTTGAATGAATCAGTTGACTACTTGTGAGCATTCTTTAGGTTTGATTGATCATTGATAGAAATGAACAATCATCCCATGTCCTATCAAGACTCCATGACCTTTGTTTATAGCCAGCATAATTCACACCGTTTCTTTCCCAAAATTGTATCAAATTGGTGTGGCATGATTATATAATAAGTGAGACTCTCACTTAATGTACACAGATTTCATATCTTTGTAATTAATTATTTTTTCGTGTAGTCATTAGCTTGTGAAAGTTTTCGTTTAGATGGTTGTTTTGCTAACACATTTAGTGCAATTTAGCCATTGAATGTGCTTATAGCTTTCCCTATACTTCATTTTTTTATCTCTTTCTGATACATAGAAGCCAAAAGACATCGCTGCAGAGGAGTATCAGATTGCAAGTATTTGATTCAAGTTAGTTTTTTCAGGCCATTCTTTCTATTCAGAGGCTTGCCAGGTGCTGAAAAGTGTGAGGCTTAGCATGGTCCATTCAAGCCAGTGAGTTGATGTGCTGGAGACGATGCATGGTGTACCATGTATATGAAATTGCTTTCGTACAATTCGCTGCAATTTTAAAATGCATTTTGCTAAGATCTAAATCTCTAAGATCTACTCTTCTTGAATGATTTCCATTTGATTTCATAACTTGGTTCTTTAATGTTTGTGCTATATCCCATAGCAAATGGCAATGGCAGGTTGGTATTATGGAGAACCTGACATGCAGTGCTAAAATATACTCGCTGATTTAAAAACCTGGGCTTGTTTTCAAAGCCATATTTGGGAAAATGGGCCAGTGTTTATTTGTGTTGGGTACCAGTGCATGCAACTGATAGATGGAAAAATGACAAAAATATGTGTAGAGTCAGCAGTGGAGGATCAGATGAATATGGGGCGACTAATGGGTGTCCCCATAACCATTTATTGTACACGGGGGTTAAGAGCTTTGGGGGGTGGGGTGTTGCAGGCTATTTGCAACTGCCTCTCTGAACAAGTGGGGACTGGAGTTTTTGGCTTTTTACTCACTCAATTCTTCTATATGGGCTGTTTGGAGTTTATCACCAAAATGTTCGGTATGCTGGACTGAATTTTGTAATTGGACTTTCAGTTTCTTTTAAGAACTCAATTCGTCGATATAGGGTAATAGGAGTTCACAAGCCATGAGAGTTTACAACTCGGGCATGTTTGATATGCTGTAATTTGACATGTAAGTATTAACAGTTGTAGCAAACTCACCATGAAGATAAGAGCAAAGGATTGAAACAACGGAATGCCTAAACAGCCTAGCCTGCAATAGAAAAAACCCCAAGTTCCCATTAAACCTGATCAACAGTCAGAAGCAGAGAGAATTATATACATTCATATATGTATGTATGTGTGTGTGTGTGTGTGTGTGTATACAGAGAGAGAGAGGAGGGGAGGGGGTATGATGGGCTGGGGATTCCATTTCCCAATTAATGACCTCTCTTTTCACCAGTCACTCTCTTTGCCTCTCAGCATGCAGATGTGTATTGTATTGGAGGATGGGTACTTGCAACACTTATCTCTCTTATCTCCTGTTCCCATGCCCATACTTATGCCATCTTTTTCTTATAAATTCAAACAGAGACATCTTTTCACATTCCCCAACTCAGTCTCAACTCCTTTTCCTAACCCTATTTTTATCAGAGAAAAAAACCCAACTTCAAATTCTGCATATTTGTTGTTTCTTGCCAACATTTCTTCAGGTCTGTTCATCTTTTCCACACCATGGTAATTATATTTGGGTATATATGTATATGTTTGTGTTTATGTTTATGTTTATGTTCATAATCGAAGATAAATTAGACAGAGAGCTGAAAGGAACAAGAATATATGTATCGATCTTTCTGCTCAACTATCTTTAGCTTTTAGAAGATTGTCTGCTCATCATCATATCTCTACCTGTCAAAAAGCCACTTCTTAGCATAACCAAACATGGGCTATGTTAAAACTCTTATTATCATCTCATATCAAGTTTTTCCAATGCAATTCTTACAGGAATGGAAGGTGAGAATGCAATCCATGATTCACCAAAAAATGCACAAGATGAAACAAAATCATTTCCCTGTTTATATTGCTCAAGAAAATT